CACACACACACACACACACACACACACACACACAGACTCTAACAAACACACACACACACACTGTAACACACACACAGACACACTGTAACACACACACTCTCACACACTCTTAACACACACACTTACACTCACACACAGACACATACACTCTCACACACACTGTCACACACACACTCTAACACACACACACACACACTCACACGCTCACACACACACACACACTCACACAGGTTTGTTTTTGTGAAAAGTGGCGACATCCCATACGCGTAATGGTTTTTCTACTGTACAGACCGTATATCACACACACACACACACACACACAGAGTCAGTGTCAGCAGCATCAGGTGTGTGAGTTCAGGAGTCAAGTCAGCTTTATTTCTGTAGCGCTTTATACAATACAGATTGTGTCGAAGCAGCTTCACAGTGGTAAACAGAGAAATAGTGGTCAATAATGTAAACTAATTTCAATCTTCTGTAAAGCAGCTCTAAAAAGAAGATAAAAGTAAACAGTCAACTTTCCAGTTAAAATCGGTTCATCGCTGACTCTCCAAGCACTATATGTGAGTAAAAATCAGTAACAAAACCCATAATAATACTTTTAATGAATTCTCCCTACAACCTCTGTGGTTTAATGTTTGAAGTCAAAGGAATTGAGACTATTGTTATACTATATAATTAAATTATTAATATTATTATTAATTACTTGATTTTTTATTTGAAAGTTCAAATAGTTAAAATGTTGTATTATTACTATAATAATATATTTATTAGTTCAGTTTTTATAATTTAAATAAAAGCATACTTAAACAAAAAGTAATAATAATAATAGCAATAATAATAATGCTAATTATTATTATTATTATGTGCCTTCATTTTTTGCTTCTGCCAAAACAGCATGATGGTTTAACATTTGAAAGCACTTAAGACACATCTTTCAGATGTTCTTTAAAATAAAATATTTATTAAATGCAACAGTATAACAATTAACAGTGCAACAGTTTTATTACTGCAGTAATATATTTATTGATGTTTGATTTTTATGATTTTAAAAAATTGTTATAATTTTGTTCAAAAAAAAAAAAATTTGATTTGTTTCTCCAAATGGTTCAGCCGTTAAGCAGTAGCTGTACACCTCACTGTTTTTAATGAAATAATACAAAACAGTATTCTGTATTTGGGCAGTAAATGTTTTGACGTCATCAGTCGTTGGCAGGTGTGTGGTTTGTTCTGGACTCTGTGTGTGTGTGTGTTTCTGTCTTCAGTACCTGATGAAGAAGCTTCTCTTGCTGCTCCGTAATGACGCCGCCGCAGAAACTAAACTGCTGTTCATCAGCTGCTCCCGCAGGTCGTGAATCTTCGCCTCAAACCTGCTGTACTCTAAACACACACACACACACACATGTGAAGCTCTGGTCCGGAGTGTCAGGACAGGGTTATTGAGCTGGACTTCTCTGCGTCTCACCCTCTGGTCTGTACTGTGCGATGATGGTGACCGTCTGTCCTGCGCTCTTCAGTGCCGCCGCTGCCTGTTCATGAGTCGCATGACGCAGATCCACACCATTCACCTGCAGCATCACCACAGCATTACAGCAGCATTGTTTGAGTGAGTGTGTGAGTGAGTGTGTGTGTGAGTGTATGTGTGTGTGTGTGTGTGAGAGTGTGTATGTGTGTGTGTGTGCATGTGTGTGAGTGTGTGTGTGTGTGTGAGTATGTGTGTGTGTGAGAGTGAGTGAGTGAGTGAGTGAGTGAGTGAGTGAGTGAGTGAGTGAGTGAGTGAGTGAGTGAGTGAGTGAGTGAGTGAGTGAGTGAGTGAGTGAGTGAGTGAGTGAGTGAGTGAGTGAGTGAGTGAGTGAGTGAGTGAGTGAGTGAGTGAGTGAGTGAGTGAGTGAGTGAGTGAGTGAGTGAGTGAGTGAGTGAGTGAGTGAGTGAGTGAGTGAGTGAGTGAGTGAGTGAGTGAGTGAGTGAGTGAGTGAGTGAGTGAGTGAGTGAGTGAGTGAGTGAGTGAGTGAGTGAGTGAGTGAGTGAGTGAGTGAGTGAGTGAGTGAGTGAGTGAGTGAGTGAGTGAGTGAGTGAGTGAGTGAGTGAGTGAGTGAGTGAGTGAGTGAGTGAGTGAGTGAGTGAGTGAGTGAGTGAGTGAGTGAGTGAGTGAGTGAGTGAGTGAGTGAGTGAGTGAGTGAGTGAGTGAGTGAGTGAGTGAGTGAGTGAGTGAGTGAGTGAGTGAGTGAGTGAGTGAGTGAGTGAGTGAGTGAGTGAGTGAGTGAGTGAGTGAGTGAGTGAGTGAGTGAGTGAGTGAGTGAGTGAGTGAGTGAGTGAGTGAGTGAGTGAGTGAGTGAGTGAGTGAGTGAGTGAGTGAGTGAGTGAGTGAGTGAGTGAGTGAGTGAGTGAGTGAGTGAGTGAGTGAGTGAGTGAGTGAGTGAGTGAGTGAGTGAGTGAGTGAGTGAGTGAGTGAGTGAGTGAGTGAGTGAGTGAGTGAGTGAGTGAGTGAGTGAGTGAGTGAGTGAGTGAGTGAGTGAGTGAGTGAGTGAGTGAGTGAGTGAGTGAGTGAGTGAGTGAGTGAGTGAGTGAGTGAGTGAGTGAGTGAGTGAGTGAGTGAGTGAGTGAGTGAGTGAGTGAGTGAGTGAGTGAGTGAGTGAGTGAGTGAGTGAGTGAGTGAGTGAGTGAGTGAGTGAGTGAGTGAGTGAGTGAGTGAGTGAGTGAGTGAGTGAGTGAGTGAGTGAGTGAGTGAGTGAGTGAGTGAGTGAGTGAGTGAGTGAGTGAGTGAGTGAGTGAGTGAGTGAGTGAGTGAGTGAGTGAGTGAGTGAGTGAGTGAGTGAGTGAGTGAGTGAGTGAGTGAGTGAGTGAGTGAGTGAGTGAGTGAGTGAGTGAGTGAGTGAGTGAGTGAGTGAGTGAGTGAGTGAGTGAGTGAGTGAGTGAGTGAGTGAGTGAGTGAGTGAGTGAGTGAGTGAGTGAGTGAGTGAGTGAGTGAGTGAGTGAGTGAGTGAGTGAGTGAGTGAGTGAGTGAGTGAGTGAGTGAGTGAGTGAGTGAGTGAGTGAGTGAGTGAGTGAGTGAGTGAGTGAGTGAGTGAGTGAGTGAGTGAGTGAGTGAGTGAGTGAGTGAGTGAGTGAGTGAGTGAGTGAGTGAGTGAGTGAGTGAGTGAGTGAGTGAGTGAGTGAGTGAGTGAGTGAGTGAGTGAGTGAGTGAGTGAGTGAGTGAGTGAGTGAGTGAGTGAGTGAGTGAGTGAGTGAGTGAGTGAGTGAGTGAGTGAGTGAGTGTGTGTGTGAGTGTGTGTGTGTGTGTGAGTGTGAGAGTGAGTGTGTGTGTATGAGAGTGAGTGTGTGTGCGTGTGTGTATGAGTGTGAGTGAGTGAGTGTGTGTGTACGAGTGTGAGAGTGTGTGTGTATGAGTGAGAGTGTGAGAGTGAGTGTGAGAGTGAGTGTGAGAGTGAGTGTGTGTGTATATGAGTGTGAGAGTGAGTGTGTGTGTGAGAGTGTGTGTATATGAGTGTGAGAGTGTGTGTGTATGAGTGAGAGTGTGAGAGTGAGTGTGAGAGTGAGTGTGAGAGTGAGTGTGTGTGTATATGAGTGTGAGAGTGAGTGTGTGTGTGAGAGTGTGTGTATATGAGTGTGAGAGTGTGTGTGTATGAGTGAGAGTGTGAGAGTGAGTGTGAGAGTGAGTGTGAGAGTGAGTGTGTGTGTATATGAGTGTGAGAGTGAGTGTGTGTGTGAGAGTGTGTGTATATGAGTGTGAGAGTGTGTGTGTATGAGTGAGAGTGTGAGAGTGAGTGTGAGAGTGAGTGTGAGAGTGAGTGTGTGTGTATATGAGTGTGAGAGTGAGTGTGTGTGTGAGAGTGTGTGTATATGAGTGTGAGAGTGTGTGTGTATGAGTGAGAGTGTGAGAGTGAGTGTGAGAGTGAGTGTGAGAGTGAGTGTGTGTGTATATGAGTGTGAGAGTGAGTGTGTGTGTGAGAGTGTGTGTATATGAGTGTGAGAGTGTGTGTGTATGAGTGAGAGTGTGAGAGTGAGTGTGAGAGTGAGTGTGAGAGTGAGTGTGTGTGTATATGAGTGTGTGAGTGTGTGTGTGTGTGTGAGTGTGAGAGTGAGTGTGTGTGAGTGAGTGAGTGAGTGAGTGTGTGTGT